CTGCGGGGCGCCAGGCCCGCTCTCTCCCCTGCCTCGCGGGCGTTCGTTGCCGCCGCCAGCTCGACCGCCTCTACCAGGCTGTGGATGTCCTGGGGATTTTGCATACTGACCGGGCGCCTCAGCGGGCGGGGCAGCGCCCGCAGCAGCCGATTGATGAGTACTTTCTTGGCTACCTGGTCAGGGGTCGGGGAACCTGCGAGAAGCCACAGGTGAGCCAATTATGTCTATGGAGTGTCATAATGGAGTGTAGTAATACTCCAAATGATTGTCCCCATGAGCATAACAGCTTTTTAAATTATAAATTATACTAAATGTGTTTCTGAAAATATAAAAAAAAATGTAGAAAGTTTACTGTAATGGTAGGTTTAAGGGATGATAGTGTATAACATTTATGAATATATAATATAATATATAATATAGATATGATGTAGAAACTTAAATTTTCTGTGAAACTGCGTTGCGACAGTTTGGTTTGTGAAAAAGTTATACAAATAAACATGAATTAAATTTAATTGAATTATGTCAATGTAAAGTCTCCATAAACATGACCGGACATGTCCGGGACCCCAATAGTCCTTATCGTTTGACCTGTTAAAATATATATAATTTTTTTCCTGATCCTGGTAAAATGTACAACGCTTTTATATTTTTAGTGATGACTAAAACTAGTGTAAATGATTTCCTTTGTTTTATATCATATGCGATCACATAATTAATTCATTTATTTTCATTTAAAAGAAGAGAATAAGACTTGGGACGATTGAATGCGCACGCGTGCGTGAGAGCGAGAGAGAGAGAGAGAGAGAGAGAGAGAGCTTTTCCATCTTAAACTAAACACAATTTTGGGAAACATTTCATTCACGGAACGGTCATTCCTGCACTAGGAGGAAATCTTTCTCCTGGAAAAATGTAAGGGTAGTTTTATTTATTTATTTATTGTTTTATTCCCAATTTCATTATTAGTCATGTTACATATTTTATTTAAATTATTTTATACAACCATCGGATTATATGTGTGGTCACACATATTATATGTTCTCATGATCTGTTAGAATTGTCTACTTATTATTTTATTGACCTTAAATCCAATATCTTTCTCACATCTCCCTTTATTGACCTTAAATCCAATATCTTTCTCACGCCTCCCATACAGAGAGAGAGAGAGAGCAAAAATGCCCTGCCTCGGAATGCAACCGGACACGCGGACCCCAGATGAGGGAAACCCCCCGGATGAGGGGACGGACCATAAGATCTTCAAAAACATTCCTTAGGTCTTCATTTATCGCCTGTCATCCTCTGAAAACGGTCAAACAGCTGAACAAACATCATATGTCATCCCCGGAGGTCATAGGTTGACGTCGGAATTTCACATATACCGGTTTTCACATCTGGACAGGTCACGGGGGTCAACACAATGTGGGTGGTCGCAATGTGGTGGGCTATGTTGGGGGAGGGGAAAGGTCACAAAGGTCAAAGCCATAAATCGTTTTGTCATAAGCTCCCGTATATTGACTACTATCCCGCATTCAGTGGCGCCTGCAGGTGTACGGCTGTACGCACTGTGAGTACCATGAACATCTCAGCAGTTATTATAGGCCGGTGTGTCCCGTATTTCTGTCGACTGAACCAGCCATACCATTAATTATGAATTTATCAGTCTTTTGCTCTTTAAAAAGTTAATTTAGGAAAACGTTTGGAGCATTTTTTGTTCGTTAAATGTAAGTTGTTTTTTTTAAGTAACGACCAAGCGGCCAGCGGCAGACAGTGAGCCTATGTTTGATCCATTTAGCCTTCTCAAATCATCACGACTTGCCTAAAATAAAATCTATAGATATAAAACAGTTCAAGCATATCACAATGTTAGTTTAAATGTTTAAACGATATAAATGTGCGCTTTTAGACACATATCTAATCGTTTGTGTGAAGAGTGGAAGCTGAAGACACTTTGCAGCACATGGAGGCGCCAGCGCGAGCACTCACTTGCATTTTGTTCTTGATAGTGGAAACAACTTAAAATACACCGTAATTTTTGCTCATAAAGGTAAGAGTAATGCATTCGGAAATGTAAAGGGTCTACTTTTATTTGTGTGCATTCACAATATCAAACAAAACGTTGTGATAATGAAAAAACAAAAACTCTTTCATTATGTGATCCGTAAAGATGCATTTCTGTCTAAAGGCACGTCCAATGAGGAGATGGCGAGTCATTTTTTCATCACCATCTAAACTATAAAAATAAGGAAAAGCCTTAAACAGGCCCGATTATATTTTTTTCTGATTTTTATGTTGCTCTGCGCTGAATACCTTAAAACTGAAAGGATTTGCTGCAACGCAATTTTGTCTGATAAGTGAATTATTTATTGGCCTATTTTTTTTTTAATTCATGCAGCAAATGCTTTAAAAACAGCTTTAAAAATTACTTTATTGCATTCCAGATGATTTTAAAGAACGTTACACTAAATTTTTACGGTTAGCTTTATTGTAAAACATTGTCATGAATTCGTTGTATTCGTAGGTAACACATGCTGATGACTGTAAAATTCAACACGATTAATTTGGTACTTCTG